CTGCAGAATTATTCGAACCGATAAAAAGCCATTCGTTTTATTAAATTTTAATTAAAACATTTAGCATTATCATTAAAGTACTTGTACATTGCTTTTCAATAATTTTTAAATTTAACATTTATTATCTTATGTACATTGTACATGTTTTTGAAATAAATAAATATATATAATATATATTACATATATTATAATATACATATATTATATATATATATATATTATATTATTATATATATAATATATTATATATATACATATATACATTATACACACGTATTATGCAAGTGTGTGTTCGAGTGTGTATGTGTGTGCGCGTTTGGGCAATTTTATTATTAAATAAATGGCATCTTTCTTGCACAGTTCTTTCTTGCACAGTTCTTTCTTGCACAGTTCTTCCTTGCGTGAAAATGCTTTCATCGTGTTCCTTCCTTATTTAATTACAATTAAACTTTTGCGCCAGGAAATCTGTGCCATCCACACCACACAGCGTACAGAATGCGGACTACGTACATCAGCATGCAACTTCGCATGCACGGGCAAGTCCCGACCGCATCATATGCAAAAGACGTGATGACAGATAAACCTTGAGAGTTGGACAAATATTAATAGTATTCGAACAAAGGAGGCAAGATATGGCGGTTCTAAAAGATGCTACGAATGAAAATGCCATCTCAGTTTAAAAGCGCAACTAGGTTTAAGATGTCCATCAAAATTCACTGCTACGAAATATTCTGGTCCAACTGATGAACTTTCATGCGCCAGAAGAGTTAGATGGAAATATCTTGCTTTTAAACCACAGAAAGAATAATTGCTATATGTGAGACACTGAAAAATTGTCATGGAACTGATTGATTGAAAAGGTTTGTAACCAGGAGTTGAACTGAGGCCAAAATAATAACCTTGTGATGTGTTACATCTTTTTGGCTCAGTAACTTTTTTTTATGTGCAAAATTTATGTGACCCAAGTATCTTCAAACAAATTTTACATAACAGTAATTCATCTTCGGAATCATTAAGTTCAGGTCCATTCAAATCTTTAATGGTGATGGTTGAACAAAACAAACTACACACACACAATACACATACATACACACAAACAGACATTTTTCATGTTTTTAATGTGATTGTATGCGGCACTATTATTGTTCTAATATAAAAAAAACTTCAAATTCACTGATAACTTAATGATTAACAAAAAAATAATTAAAATATATGAATTGAAAGGGCAATTCAAAAAATGCATTAAAGACATTAATAAAAAAAGAGCATCATATATATTCAACGAAATTTCCACTGTTTGATTAGGTTTAACTACGTAGATAACAACCACTTAACGTTAATAATAATAATTGTGCATGCCATTAATTAATGATCAATGTTATTGTATGCGTCCGCACAGCAAACACACTTGAATACGAATACGATAGACATCCATACATTCAGCGGCTTGATAGCTCGCCATACAATCGTAGATACATAAACATATGTAGAGGTATGTAATATGTTTAACAGAGTCATACAATCGTACGTTCAGAGATATATAATATAAGCGATTGTTTGGTGTTGTCTGCTTGGCTAAACTTCATACTCAATGAACTTATCTAATTAAGAAACAAAATGGATCTGTGATTATGTGTGTTTCAGGCAGAGCCTGTCCTTTTTAATTTGTTCTTTCAGCGTTTTCTAAATGTTCACGCTTTTTATAATTTAAAATTAGGGTTGTATAAACTCTAATCACATAATTACGGGATTGTATCAAAACTCGAAACAAAATCACGTGATTAGTGAAAAATACTAATTGTCAAACATTTAATTGGAGGAATAAATATATACATTTATTCTCTCGTACTGATTAGTTTTTTATATCATGTAAAAAGCGCGAGTGTTTACTCCAGATTGTTTTAAAAATATGATAAATTTTTAAAAAGCCCAAATTAACTTCAACATTCGTACATAATGTGCATTGCAAATTTTTAAAATTTCTCATCTTTTTACAGGAAACAAAAAGTTTTTCGATGAAAGTGTCTTTCATATCTGAAAGTGTATCATTTGAAATTATTTAGATTAGCATCCGCTATTTATATTTTGCCAATTACACAGTGAAGAATTTGTGAAAAACAAATAAACGTATATTTTTGAAACTTCTTTTGTTCGAACCAATCAATTAAAATCAGGCTTCGAAAAATTGGCAACTATCTTTTAAAGCCACAAAACATTTAGTCATTATTTGAGCAAACATTCCTAAAAGTGCTCTTACCGAATCTCCTCCTTTTACAAAAATGTTTAAAATAAGTAACGGCTAAATTAATTTGGAACCTCTAGAAAAAATGCACACACCAAACACACACACACACCACACACACACACCACACACACACACCACACACACACACACACACACACACATTCAAAGACACCACATCTACACACACACACACACACACACACACACACACACACACATTCAAAGACACCACATCTACACACACACACACATTCAAAGACACCACATCTACACACACATTCAAAGACACCACATCTACGCACACATTATACAGACATATATATATATATATATATATATATATATATATATATATATAAATGTGGAACGCTCAGTCATAAATAAATCAAGAGAATGTATTGCATAGGTTCGATAACGTTAGAAGGCGAAATCATGTGGATGACTGGCAATATGACCGGCGATGATGGATGCAACATTGACGTGATTGGGCATTTACTGGAAAGCATTACGTCATTGCACGTTATTCCATTCCATGTTGTTGCTTGTTATTCTATGTTATTGCATGTTATTTTACGTCATTGTAAGATATTGAAGGTAATTTTTTACGAAGTATTGGTTGCGATTGTAAATTAGTATTATAATTCAATTTTTGAATATTTGCTAGAATTTCTTATCTCCCATGTTGTTTTTGTTTGGTCTCGATCGATTGTTAATTTTTGTTAAAATTGCACAATTAAAATTTATCAGCAATTCAATGTTTTTTCATGTTGTTTGGAAACTTTTGACGAATACAAGTTTCGTGCGTCTTATTCAAATTGCAAAATTATTACGGCTTCAATCTTTTGAATTATATTTTATGTCAGAATACGATACGACACATCAATAATGCGTTCGCTCCTACACAGCCGTCATACTAATACATATATACGATATTTTCACGCAGCTGAGAGCTCTGGATGAAGAGCAAATATAAACATTTAACCAAACATATTCTGCAAAGTAAAGAAAATTTTTGTATGAAAAGTATATTATTTTAAAAATACAAATTGTATATACAGAACATAAGTATATATTCATTGAATGGAGGCCACGTTTTAAAAATAAATCAACGGAATTGGAGTTAAAATCTGCAACTTATTTCAGCACTGACGTCTGATCTGACTTCTCATTCGACAATCATCAACACGAAATGATGAAACATTTGTCTTCAATCGATATAAACAACTTCACATATTACAACTTCATATACTACAACTTCCATTAAATAATAACATGCTATTCCTAAGAAATGTAATAAAATTCTGTTAAATCGAATTTAATCGTGCCTGGTTGTAGAGCGCGTTTATATATAATTTCTGTAAAATTCCCATATTATATCAAAAGAATATAGACATATAGAATATATCGTTATCAAAGGCTGTAAATAACAATTAGATGCTAAATGAATAAAAGAAATTGCTTTTTCACTGGCAACTGACGTTTGTGAAGAAAAGCATTAAATGGTCATAAAGTCACGATGACGGCTTATCCTCTGCGTCACGACATGCTCCACATAATCCTGATTGGCATTTAAATCTCCTAGTAGCCTGACATGCTTGCATTTCATTTCTTATCTATTTGCTCTAAGTTATCAATTTGGTCATCCACGAATTTCATTACGACATTTGCAGGTCGACCTATTCCATCCTTTTAATTTATTAACAACTTTGATGTGGCAATATATAATTCAGTTTAAAAGATGTATTGATTATATCAAAGTGAAATTTTAAATAAAGGTCTCCCCGTCAGAATAGTTGCTTAATTGCTGGTCTCTACACAAGTATCAAAATCAGACATCGCCTGTTCCAAAAATGCATAACAAATTTACTAAAATGATGATTTCTTCACAACCGACCATACGTAGTACCACTCATTTGTTTTAACATTATAACTATGATGAAACATTGAGGGAGAGAGAGATTAATGCTTGTGACATAACATTCGTCCATCAATTATGCATTCAACCAGCGTTGCCTCCCTGTATTTGTTGGATAAAAATCAACTGAAACCAACTAAAAATTAAACCGGCGCAAATCCCCAAGAATATGAACTCGAAGTTTTCAGCTAGACAGATGAATCAACTTAATTATTTTACGATATTAATTATGAGCCATTAAAATTTTCAGCGACCTATGTTCACCAAACAGAATCCCCTCCTTTTCTTTCTACCTTTAATAAATTTTGCCAAGTCTGCTATTCACCTGGTTTTCATTAAAATTTTAAAAAACAACTAATTCTTGAGCGGGAAATGACGTTTTGTCTTTTGAATTTTTGGGACATTGAATAAATCAATTTAGAGCAGTTATAGGGAATATAATAAATTATGAGTTATGGCCATTCTTATTATTATTAGTAGTATACCGCTTTTCTCCACAAATTATTGTTCTCACTTCCGCAGATTCTTGGTTATTTCAGTTTTGATACAACTTTACCCTTATTTGAAATGCGATCGATTCGGTAATCCTAGGGCTAGCAAGGAACGCAACTCTAACGAGTCTTTCGAAACAATATCAATTAAAGATTAAAACTATAATAAGTATATTTTTCTTAAATGTTAAACTCAATTAAATTTTTATCATAAAGAATGAAAATAGCATAATTTGATTTCAGTACAAATTAAAATTTAAGAAGTTTAAGTACCACAACTAGAATAATGATTTTTAACCAAACGGTAGTAATATACGTATAATGGAACGTTAGCTCGTTCATCAGTCACTCACACAAATCCAAAGCTTTTCGTTTTTATAGCAAGGAGAAGCTTTGTCTTTAAGATGACTTTGGAGGAATACAATGGTATATAAAGTCGTGAGATGCACGTATTTGCAGTCGGAAGATGGTTGTCATCTGCTGGCCTAACTGTTACACTTGGCATCGGCTGGAAACCTTCCTCACTGGCTGGCAATGCTGGACTTGACATCCAAAAGTATACCTAATTAACAAAAATAATTTAAGTTAACCATTTGGAAGCATGTTTCGTATAAGTTGATAAGGTTTATTATTTATGAAGTTATTTCGTATAACCTTGCAGAGGATAAAAGCTATGTGAAATAAACTATTGTAACAAAAAAAGAGAAAATGTTTTATTTTACATTGAAAGATGTTATAAACGGCAAAAACATTAAGTGGATGTCTTGTTACATACCAGGTCCTGCCTCTCCACTGGATTCATCTTCTCAACCGTGGACCAGAACCACTTTTTAAACCTCTGAACCTTTTCGCTTCCTTCACCTAAAAAAATTATTAAAAAATAACCTCAAACTAATCTTGCTAACAAAAAAATTCAAGTTTTGCGTCATGAGTTGTATCTTGTAGTATGCATGCATCTTGGGATGATTTTGAGACTGCAAATATCAGAAATTAAAAAGTTCCTACTGTTTATCTTGAATCTTGCAGCATCTTCCTGCTATTATAAATTGAGGTTTCATCATTCTACTACATTAAATCCTCATCCTTCATCATAATCATTTTCAATATAATTATTGCTCAAGCTTTTTAACTGCTTCACTTCAATTTCTCAACCCTCACGGTACATTCATCTCACTGCGCCCTGCAATAGACCACTTGATCCATCCGATGAACACTAATTAACGCACACACAATCTCATTTCAGGTAATATTTAGTTTAAACTGAAGTTTTTAAACAAACGAAAATACTTACGATCGCCCGTTTCATCATTAAAGGAAGTGTAATTAATAAGTGACTGAGTGTTTATATCTCCGATTCCGTTCAACAGCAGTCGCAAATCCTCGCTAGTCAGTCCGTCGAACGATCCTCTTGGAATCACATCAAACACTCCACGTTTCATGTTCTGTAATGAATTAATGCGTTATATATTGATTGACGCAATCAATCAAATAAGTAAATTAAAGCATTTAGCCAACCTCCAGTGCCCTCGAGACCATTTTCACCATTCTAAAGTGGGCGTATTTACGTACATAATCATGAATATTTGAGGCATTCACCTCAATATCATTTCCATTTGGCACCAAGTTATAAGAATCTCCTCCCTGGTGTTATGAATAAATAAATAGGTAAGCAATAAAAATTGAAATAAGACGGATAATTTATTTTCATTTGAATCCGTGAAAGTTGCTACAAACTGCAACTCTAAGCACTGTTTGCAACTAGAAATTTGTAGACCACACTGTGGAGAACAATTGAAAATTCGACGAAAAAAATAATAAAAAACAAGCGCGAGGAAAGCAGGCAAACAAACATCATCGGCAGAGCACTCGACTGAAAACGTTAGATCCATGTTGATGAGCATGTTGGATCCATCCTTTGATTCGGAATCCAGAATTAACTGCCTGAGACTTTCGTACATGATAGGATCAAAAAAGGCAAGGTCATGCCACGATATTTTCCTACCCAGCAAAAACTTGAGCACGTGACGATTCAGATATAGCGGGCATATTTCATTCTGGAGCATACACAAGCCTATAATCCTGCATTGATAGCAAGCAAGTAAATATTCAGGCATAATAACAAAAAAGAAAAAAATACATAAACGACAAAAAATATTTTCAGTGAATGTTTTAAATGAATACTACTAGGAGACTAACCTGCCAACGTTACGATATGCATTAAGCCTTTCAGCTGTGTTTCTACCTGGACGAGGCGAATAGTAGCCTTTCTTGCCTGGCTGCCAGAACAGAGGCCTGTTGTCTTCCACTTCGGACTCTTCATCTCCAACGCTTATTTTTTTAATCTGTGAAGCAGCGTTCTTTTTATTGCAGAATTTATAACTGTTGGTCAAGTTGAAAATGTCCCCATCCAGACTGTCATTTGCAGCACTTTCCCTGCAGATGATTTAAGAAATTTTAAGAATAATAAAAACTGTAGTTAACTTTCCACAAGTTATCGTTTTTTTTCAAGTAGAAGAACCCAACAGAATGCGCATAAAAAATGTCATAGATATGACACAAATATAAAGGTTGAATAAATTTAAAATAAACTTCCGAATTAAAGCACCTGGACTGATTAGCGATGACTTCCATGATTTCACTGACTCTTTGCTTCAGTTGTTCGTCTGAAGCCAAAAGATTGAGAAGGTACGAAGACCCCATGTCCATCAGCATGCCTGTAATCTTCGACGCCAGATTCTACAAGTTGTTTACAAATTTGAATAATTTATAAATCAAACTTAAAAAAAAGAAAAAATTGAAACATCGAAAATTATAAACGAATTGAGAAATGCAGAAAATAACGAGGAACAAAATAGAAACAGACTGGTTGAAGAGCATAGATCCTTGGGTAGAGTTTTTCACCAAGTTGTTTCTTCTGTGATGATAAACTATCATTTCCTCCAGCTTGATCGCTATTGTCACTGGTAGACTGTGAAATATCGTTGCTGTTGTTGAGTTGGCTACCAATGTTGAGTTGATTGCTTGACGACGGTTGAGCTGATGAAGTGCTGGGTGTGAAGAAAAGTGGCGTGTCGCAAGACTTTTTATCTTTCTGTAACTTCTGCTGATGCTGTTGTAGTCGCCTACGTTCTTTCTCTCGAGATTTCAGTCTTTGCAGAAGATCTACACAACAAAGTTGACTATTTAATAAATAAATAAATAAATAAATAAATAAATAAGGCAGCATCATTTGACTTTTTAGCTAGTTCAATCGTTCAGACTAATTTACGCTTTATTCTTTATGAAGCTGATTTATTGATATGTAGTTTGTTACATTCCACCTACATAATACGTGTGCTAGCTGCTGATATTTTTAATCTATATTGCGATATATTTTGAAGTCGTGATTATCTAAACCTAACCCAAATTTTAATTTAATATAATTCTCAGCCTCAAATCTGAGCATAAATGAAAACAAGCAAAGATATAAATAAAATGATGACCTCCTGACAATATGGTATCCAAACATGGAAGATCATCTGAAGATAGCACAGCATGGCAGAAGGCGGTGTAAAAACTGCGAGCCACGCCGCTGCCCTCGCCCGGTTCGTCCCTAAATGTGACCTTCACCCTATGGACAGCCAACGGGGGTCCTGCATTTTGATGGCGTCTGTTGAAGTGCGTGTTCAACTGCTTGAACGTCTGTACTAGCAAATTATTACGATCTCTTTCAACCTGCGTTTGGGTTAGAAAGTTTGATTATGTAAAAATTGTTAAGAATAATTTAAATAAATATCTAAAATTTCTTACTTCAATTGACAGATCTCTTTGTTGCGAATTCCTGAATCTCTCCATATCCCTTTTGAATCGTACTTCTTTCACGGTGAAACCTCCAAATTCGCTGATAATAGAACCAGGTTCTGAGCCGACATCTTCGCAAAACACTCGGCCGAAGAGGTCCAGACACAGTCGCCACCTACCCAGCAAAGTTTCTGCCGACACTACACAGCCCATCAAATTTGCAGATCTGTCGAAAGTACAATAATTCCTCAATTTTTTTCTATTTTGATAATTTTTGTTTCTATCAAAAATCTTCACTGGGAAAATTTTTAAAGTTTATGATGCTTAAAAATTTTTTCCGCCCGCCCTATCATTTCAGAATTTCGGTTCTTTCATACGTTCCTGATGGAGACAAACGTGTTTCAAGTGTTCATTTTGTTAAGTGAAGCAAGCACCTTCACAAACAAAATCGGAAGTTATTTTCCAATATTATTGGACTTGTAAAGCTCAAGGCCAGTTATAAAATATTTTTCAATAGTAAAAGAAATAATAAAGAAGCAATTAGTTTAGAGAATTTAACCTATAGGTTGTCGGTAGTGATTGAAGTTGAGTTGTTTCGACTACGACTGTGTTTGAAACATTGTCATTAGCACCAACGTCATCAATTGCTGGATTATCAGCTTTTGCAGCTTCCTCTGGCATACTAAAAAATAGAAAAAATAGATAAAATTTTGTGAACTATTGAACTATTAAGTTTAACTGTGCAAAGTTTATTTCACTACTATATAAATATACTATATATATATATATATATATATATATATATATATATATATATATATATATATATATATATATATTGGAAAGAGACCATATTTTATACAGTACTGTATGAATTCTACCAAATTGTTGGAATTAATCAGTTTATAGTTTGTCTTTTCAATTTTCTTTAATAGACATATAAGTAATGTGTACATTAAAATATACAATGCTTATACACATATAAATAATGTGTATATACAAATAAATGATGTGTATATACAAATAAGTAACGTGTGTATACAAATAAATAATGCGCATACACAAATATGTATAGTGTATATAAAAATAAGTAACGTGTAGTGTATATACAAATAGACAAGCAAATGATTGAATGAATAACACAACGAACCTCAGGTGTCTGGCGTCAGTAAGATTGGCAGATGTGACTGTGTGAGATTTCAATGATTGGCCGCTAGCGTTTGACGCACTGCTGTTCTTCAGGCTGTTACTGAAATGACTGCAAGCCAAGTTCTTCATGGGGTTAGTGAGGTCAAGTCCAACATTATGGTCATCATCCTTGGGAGACAGAAGTTGGCGGGGGTCATCATAAATGGCCTGCAACTGTTGGTGTTGCTGGGAATTGTCATCGTACAACAAAGAATGTATTTGGTGATGATGGTGAGGCGGCTGGTTAACCAGTGGCGAGAAAGACGTGCTAGCATGAACTATCACACTAGCTTGATGGTTGATGTTTTGGAGCGGCGGTGGCGGCTGAAGAGATGATCGTCTTGGTGATTGGGACATTGAACTGTCCATAGCTGTAGCGAGATTACAATCGCCAGATTGTTGTTTTGTTACAGATAAGTCCATCAGTGAATGAGCCATTCCTCCTTGAGAGGAGAGTGATGAGTTGTTGTCTGTAGGATATTTGTGCTTATGGATAGTTGCAGATGTAACTGACGAATTTTCTCCCGATTGGATGGCAAAAGATGAGGGCTGATTGTGCTGCAGGTCATCCATAGCTGCCGACAGGTTAGCAGAATTATTTGTGCTTCCACTACCTTGGAATATATTTACAATGACTCCCGATGCATAGCCTGGAACGTCGACGATTGAAGAGTTTGAAGAATGGAGAGTATGTGCCGGAGGGGCGGGGGGCAGAGGGTACGAAGCAGCTGCATTCAGATTCAGTTGGAAGTAATGAGGCTGACTGATCAGTGGAGTTGTTGACATGTTAGAAGACGAGCTGGTTGCATTTGCTGAACTGTGATTGAAGGATGAAACATTGGATGATGAATGAGAATGTGAATTGAAGCATCTGCAGGACAGAGCCAAGTGTGTTGGCATTTGATTAAAAAAAGACCATTGATGATTATGATGGCAACAATTGGACGCATCTGATGCAAACGTGCTCATGTTAACCATTTGTCGCGGCATTCCAAACAAATCCTCTTTGCGGGCATATGGATGAAGCAGATGAGGTTGTTCAGCAAGAGGGAGAGATTCGCTTAGAGGCGAGTTGAAAGAGTCAGGAGGTGTACAGCCCAAAAAAATTGTTGAATCCGATCTCTGGAAAAACGGATGTTTCCTACCAGTCTTATTATCATCCACGTCAGACACATTATCCATGCTTTCCGATTCAAGTAGGAAACTGCGAGTGTTGTAATCATCGAATGCTGTCTCATCAGGATTGTCATCAGTTTCTAACCAGGATTGCACTGACATGGAATCTTTGATACTATTGTCCATATCATTGCCACTTCTCATGTAATAAATCAGAGCATCCAGTACATAAGCAACATGTTTCAACGACGTGATGTCTGTAGACGGTAAGGTGTTGTAATGTTCCCTACTATGTGCCCTCATAAGTGACAGTGCATATGTCAGGTAGTCGCGGCGAGCACTGTTACCATCAACGAAAGAATTTGTGGCAGATGTGGTAGGCGGCTTGGTGGGCATGGCTGTTCTGTTCATGGAGATGCTTGCCTGCTGTTGCTGCTGCTGCTGTTGTGATAATGCAGCTGAGTCATCTCTCAATAACAAGTTGGCTCTGTTTAGCGAATAGTATAACATCGATTATTTGGAACAAAATTAAAAATTGTTAATAAAAAATAACTAAGAATTAACTATAAAATAAAGAATAATATCGTTGTAAGCAGTTAACAATCCAGCCTAAAGATTAGCAAGATTAGCACTAACCTGTTGTTAATGACTGACGGATGATTGAGAGATGATGCTGCTAGCCCTCCCCTTTGGGAGTAGGCTGATTTGTAGGGGTGCATAAAGGAAGAGGATCCTGTAAGTACGGATCCGAATCTCAACTGCGCCTCCGTTGCGTCCATTATACCAACCAACCAATCCCATGTTGATTTTAATCTAATAAATTTATTTTAAATATGCTATTGTGATAGATTTATACAGAAATTACAAATTCATTATCCTTTGATTCTAATTAATCAAAACGTAAAAAAAACGCAGATAAACTTTTAATATATTTTGTAATGTATTTTAAAATATTCCTGCAAAGTTATAAGGCGGGTGGGAAAAGTCGTCTCAAGAGTGGCATTAATGACAACACTCTCATCATACCTAATTGGTGTACTGCCATGTACCAGCAAATGAAAGCCAATAATTAAGCTTAATCCAAAAATGCCTAACTTTAAATAACTTCAATACCAAAATAAAGACATCCAGAAGTAATCACCCAAACATCAAGTAAGATTGTTTAAATTAACATAGGTGGGAACAAAGATGTGACATGATATCAATTCAAAGCCCGTAAACGCTGACGAAGATAACGATATATATATATATTGAAATTATTGACTAACATATTTATATAAAATAAACTTGACGGATTATCTACCTACCTGCACTCAAGATACACGTGTAAATCGACAACATCCTGGTGAGTGATGTTGAGGTTGAGAGGAAGACTTGGAGTGACGTTTTGGTTGTCGTGCAACGTCATCAACAGATCAGATACCTGTAGTTCATTTTTAAGATATTAACAGTCAACAAACAGACAGAGTTCGTTGAAAGTAATTAAAATTAAAAACTAATTAGTTATTTCTAATTTCTCTCCAACGCATTTTTAAATGTTCCCACCAACGTTTCCTACATCTCACAAAATTTATGTGCCGGCATTAAAAATTAGAAGCTTAAACAAGATATTTTAATAAAGGTGACAATATTGGTTGAAATGAAAAAAAGCGTAAACGAATGCCCGGTGCAAGAACAGCATTACCAAGAATAACTGAATTAACTTGGTATGTAGACGATAGCAGAAATTATTTAGAAGTTAACCTGTCTGATGACTATGGAAAAAGATCTAGCCAGTTGACTTGCAGTTGTTGACATGCTTAGAGTGCTGTCTTGATTGGTTGCAACGGTCATCGTGATAGCTGGGTTCACCGAAGTTCTTCGAAGAACTGATGGGTCAATGTACACAATTCCACTAGTTCCTATTTAATAAATTATCCTATCGTTAATACAACAACTTTATAATTATCCAACCTTTAGAAAAAAATAAAACAAAAAGAAGAACTGCAAAAAAAAACCAAATTCCTACCGGAAGTTGTTGTAGCAACAGCTGTGGAAAGGGATGCTCTGGTGGTGGATGGAGGGACATCACGTGGTCGAAGAGCCCACTGCATGGTCTGTGGTGGCTGAAGTATGTGAGAGCCTGTGAGAACAATCAAAGGAGAATTCTCATTTATTGTTAGGTGCTGCAACGTTAATATGACTCAAATGTTTCAATCATTTTTCACTACTAATTAAAACAATCGATGCCAGCTTTGACAATATTTTGTGTGGAAAGTTAAAAAGTGGGAAGCAAGAAGAAATCTTTCAGAAAGAGACAGCATATACAATGTATATTTCTGAAAGATTAAACGGTATTTTAAAAATTAAAAATTCTCGGTATTTCTGAAAGATTATACATGCACAATAACAATGAATGATATATGCAAAAGTTTGGCGGGGAATCTCCTTAAATTTAAGCCCAGTTGCTGCAATGCAGAAGACTGGCATCTTACCACTAAGCTATCCAGCCGCTCGTGTGAAAATTTTAACGATTTAAATACATTATATAAATGAAATTTTAAGAATGATTTTATATAACTCTTATAAATAAGTTTCAACATTGAATAATATTGACGAGAAAATGTTTAAAAGCAAACCTTGATTGTTATTTCTTCTGTCGATTTGTTCATCCAGCAAGCCGGCAACATCGGCGTCGTTGTCGGCACTGTCGCCAGCCTTGCTGTCATCATCTTGCGAGGAGGAGTCACCAGAATCTTCATCGTCGTCAGAAAAATATGGCAGGCTACCAACTCCTGAATGGTGATTCATGAAATTAAAGTCGATGCAAGCACAACATCTTCATGAACTTAAAATATAAACACTCCTGCTTTGGTCATAACAAAATTTTCTCAACACTTCAATGCACAGTTTGTATTTGGTATAATAGCCCATATTTAATAAATTGCAGCAAAATGTATTTTTAAAACGTAACAAAAAAATTAAATAAATAAAAATGTCCAAGTAGTGAAAATCCTCGAAAGGGTTCTCAACAATTCAACAAAAACCTTTCATCAAAAATTTTTTACATAATATTAAAAAATGTAATAAATTAAGTTTAAATTAGAAAATGACCCGCATCAGAGCCAGCAGTGGCAGCTGTAATGGCACTCCTCTGGACACTGGCGTTATCGGCATGTGATCTCGTACTTTCTTCACTGTCACTGTCCGAAGCATTCATCATATCCAACTCCATGTCACTTTCTATCGCACCTGAACGTGTTCGAGTTCATCATTTCAATTATTATCATACGAATGGACACAATTACAATTTAAATTTTACAACGTAGTAATTTTAGTCGTGAGGGGCTTACAGCAAATCGTTGCAAAGACACACAACTTGAAAGAGACTATCATAAAACTCTGTCAACGAGATTTCTTAAATTTGGCAAAAAGTAATAGAGAAAAAGGCATCAACCATCATCTAACTAACCATCTTCCTGGTCACCGTGGTTGACGTCGTGCTCCGAATGCTCCGAATGGTGGTCATCATGGTCATCGATGTTATCGTCACCTTCCAACACCTCCATCTACGTTGATGTTTATATTCATACACTATATGCAACATATATAAACCAACACGCACGCACGCACGCACACATACATATATATTCATACATATTTAATATGGTATGAATTCTACCGAATTGTTGGCATTGATCAATTTAAAATATGTCTTTTCAATTTTCCTTACTAGAATTTTCAGGAAATCGTCCAATTTATTGAAAATAAAATTGTTTTCCAAGTTTATTCATCATGAAAATTTAATGAAACTGTTGTTATAAAAATTCATCATGCAGATAAATCATCTTCAGTGTAGGTTTGGTTCATAGTTTCTTTAAACAAAATAAAGTAGTTCTTTAGCAAGGTAGGTTACATTTAAATTCATATATTACATGATTACGCTTCAAAGTAGAATCGTCCTTAGATATAGATGCCAATGCCAACACTTCGTTAGAATTCATGCAATGCTGTACAAAATATGGTCCCCTTCCAACATACATATATAAATATATACATATATAAATATATACGTATATATACAATTATAAATATTTATGCGATAAACGATACACAAACAATAAATATAGAAGAAAAAGTTAAGGGGGAATAGACAAAGACATGTATGTGTGTAGGAACCTCGGGACCGCCATCCGCCATTTCCTCCTCGGCGTGATCCCTCTCCTGTGCCACCCTCTCACTTGATGACAAACGATTGGCAGAACGAGTTTCAGTTGCATCGGCAGACGACATGGGCATCTGACCATCCACCGTCGGCCTGATTGGCTGCGTTTCAATGGAGAATAACTCTTCACTGCCCTGTTCGTTGTTATTGAGAATTACATTCAAGTATACATTTAGCAGTAGTTCACAATTAAGAAAGAAATTTTATGTCACTGAGTCAAACTTAATGACGCTTCAAAAACGTCAATCATATTCACATCTGTATGTGTCTTTAAACACTATTTTTTAGCTTATAACACACATAGCTTGGCCATTTGCAGTTCATAAAAAAAAGTACATTATTTTATAATCATTTTATAAGCAAGCATACAAGGCCAGAAACCTGTATAGCATCATTTGAAGATGCGACGAGAGAGAAGGGAGCAGTTGGTCGAGCGACTCCCATGCGGACAGGTGAGATGAGTGCCTCGGCAACCTCGCACAGTTCTTCAATAGAAATGTTGATCAAAGATTGGAAGACCCTCTTACACTTGGCCGTCGGAGGTGATGATCCCATGCCCCTAAAATTTTTATATCAAAATATCACATCATAACATGCACTTAAATTGCGAGAAGGTTATTACTGAAAATGGTTGAAATCACAGATCCGCCCGAGGTATAAAATGCGTGTTTCATTTCACTGCAACACAACCATAAATGTTTTCAACCTCTTAACAATGACAAAACTTGTAACCATATATACAACTACTCAAAAAATGTTCTGTTAAGGTCAGGGCTAAACAGCGGCGTGTAATCTATATAAAGGGCAGACCTTCTTATCAGCTAAAAACACTCACTGTCTTTTTTTATTAGATATCGGTGCCATCTCTGAAGAGAGAACCACAAATATCCTGACAACAGATCGAATAAACTTGCACGCCACTAATTTGGCTTCTTCTTTTCTTCCTTCAATCCTGTCATTCGTTATTTCTCGAATCAACGTAGCCAACAATGAATCCAACATCTGAAATGAAAACATAGAATAAATAACTTTTGCGCCGTTGGTTGTCCAAAAATAAACGATCAATGACTAAAAATGATTTTAAGCTTACTTCAACAGTGCACTTTACAATGAGACAATGAACAAATTTATCAACTTGGTTGACGCCTGACTGACTTTCCAAGTACATCTGATCCTCGTACAGTACGTCAGAAGAACTATTCAATAATAGTGACAATAATAACGAGTAATTACATTTACTGATTTGTACCAAATATATCATCCAAATTCAGTTAAATAATTCAATTAAACAGTTAAATTAAATAATTCAGTTAAATAATTCAATTAAATAATTCAGTTAAACAATTGAAGCATTTTAATTAAATAGCGCAATGTTAATCAACTTTTAATGTTAACAGACCAGCTGTTTTTTTTTTCTTTGTGTCCAGTAAGCAGCATAGACTTCACAGCCGCCCAGTCGTCCAGCAATCGCTCCAAAGCTCTCCTACTGAACTTGGGAGGCTCCAAGTTATGCTCGGGCATCTGGGTATCTACAACGTTTAATTTTCAACAAAAAAGCGTTTTGAAAGGTATAAACTTTATTGTCTTAATTTTCATTATGCAAGACTGGACCAGCATATCAGATTATAAACAGATTTATGTGATATATGTATGTTTAAAGAGAACGTGAACAAATCATAAAAACAGAAATTGAGATAACAATAAAAAGAGTAAGTAATGAAAAGGTCGTTATAATTAAATAGACTAAATATGACACCTGTAAAAATGTTAGAGAAACGTGTTGATTTCCAAACTTAAAGGTCAATGGAAAAGAAAAAAGCAGAGGAAATGATTTCAGCATAAAGAAAAAGTCATTAAGGAACATGAAGGCGCTTGGAACTGCAAATGGAAAGAGCAAGATGAAAATGCAGTGAGGTGCACAAGCAAATAATTAGGAGGATGCAGTTCTGCTGTTTAAGATATACTCCGAATAGTTATTATACATCAATTCAAAACGTTCTTAAATTTCTTTTATTTGTTGATAAAAAACTAATCTATTGAAAACAGTCAGGGTTGAAAAGTTACTAAATAATTTCCTGTGCTGAAAATTTTAAATCAATCAATCAATCTTCGTTTTGCGTCCAGAGACCCGGTTTCCCGAGGTAAGACGTAAAAAATTTTAAATGAATGATTGAACATGAAACATCACAAAACCATTAAGAAAGTGAATATAAAGTAATAAGTTATTCAACAGGCGGAGCAGCAGATGCTAGGATAATGAGACAAATTTTAAAAATTGATAGTTTTAAGAGCCACAGTTCACTACATCTTGAATAAATAACACCAATAATATAACGAGTAAGAACTAAATTGAATAGTAACCCATATCAGAAGCAGCTGATTTCCTGGCATGGTGGTTTGATGACCTGACACGAGATGGACGGTATTGCCTCTGCTCAACCAACTGCCTGCCCACTGTTTGCAGCAGGAACATCAAGATGTTCTCACCTCTAGTTTGTAAAAACAGTACAATCAAATCATGAAGTTGAGATGGCACTAGGCAAACACAATGTAAGTTAAACTGACTCATGAGAAATAGAATTTTTAAAATTAATATCTTCGTTAAATGGAAAAATACTCTAATGAATTAACCGAGAATAAGTCCTTTGTGTCAAGTTGATAATTATCTTAAACCGTTTTTTGAAAAATATTGTGAAAGATGTTTTACGATAACATCCTATTAAGACTACTAAGAATTGAAAGAGAAAAGATTTACAAAACAACTCAAACTTAACCAAACATATGCCTGAAATGTACCTTGTGTTGGGCAACTTAACAAGATCAGTGTCGACAAGAAGTTGATTGAGTAGCTCCAAGCGTGCCGATTGGTTGCCTGCTATAAGAGATCGACATTTGCACTTCTCCCAACAGTCACAATAAGCCGTCGGGGAAGTCTTCTTTAATCTGTTTTTCATTTACATATTTGGTTGAAATTCATAAACCAAACGAAACCTTCAAAAAATAAACTTCATAGATATTTTTAGAAAAATTTAACTGCTTTAACTAATTTTTTAAAATAAATCTTTCGCAATAAAATAATTTGTTCGATACGTACTTGCAGTCGTGACCTTTGTGACAAACACGTGCGCACTCTGTACAGCAGCAGAGAGATCCAACCAAACCGCAGGTCCGGCATTCAAATATGTCCTGAACAGAACATTAGGCATTGTAGTAAAAATTTCACATTTCATGAAGCAAAATACTCAGACAATGGCTGCTAATTTAATTCTAGCAGTTGAGTTAATTCTAGCAGTTGTAGCAAGCTTGGCAACAAAAGTAAAATCTAATGAGTTTTATTCAATTTTAAAAGAAATCAGGTAATCGTAGAATCACAGTTATTAATTTATTAGTTATAAATGTTTCCGTGTGACTTGCGTTCAATGTTGTCCTAGCATACATCTTTCAAGTAACATTTAGTAAATATAAAACAATTTCGGATAAAGTTGTAAGAAAACAAAATCTAAAAAAAAAATGCTTGCCATGTTTAACTGCATTTAAACATCATTGTAAAAAAATTTGCCTGTTCAATAGATTATATTAATTAAAATATTACAAAACGTTTACAATGGAGAGCGTCACTGTCGATTCAGTGAGGGAAAAGAACAAACCTGGTTGATATGTTCGTCACCAGTCCACGTGAAACTGCACATGTCATTGCAGCAGAGAATGTGAATTGGAGAGTTGTCGAGGTTGGACTGAGGAGGAAACAACATACTCATCAGTACTTCCCTGTTCACCTCCCCCTCCTTCATTGCAATTCTTCTGCAGGTTTCCAACAGGTACAAACCTGCAGTGTATGCACGATTGCAAATGCACTGCATGAAAGCCGTCAAGCCTTCTGAATTCCTGTCGGGAGAATATAAGTAAATAAATTAAATAACTCTCGTTGGCCATGCCTTTCAGTTTTGAGGTCCTCCAAAATTATATTTTGATTATTAGACATTGATCCTCTCAGTTTTCAATACATTTTGCTTCGGAATTAAATATGTAGAATAAAATTATCTATCTATGGCTATAAAACTTTGACCACGAAGCATTTATTAGCTGAGCGAAGTTAGATGTTAGTTTCTGCCAGATCAATCACTTTAGATTACACCCATGAACGGCTAACAAAAGTATTAAAAATTTATTATATAACGTTGAAGTTTTGAACAACCATTCGTAACAAATGCCCATAATAAAAAAAACGACGAACTTGGCCTTGAGCAGATCCAGGAGATGAACTTGAAGAAGTGGTGATTCACACAGAACTTTCAATATCACCAAAGCATTGAACTTTCTATCTTTCTCCTCGTTTCTGACAGGTTGATGGGATTGACCGAGATAGGACGGTAGATTGAAATTTGTTGAAGAGGATGTCACACGAGGCATGTTCATTACACTGCTGTTCCCTGCACGCATTTCAGATTTAGTTGGCCTTTTATAATCTACTGTATAAAACTTACAAAAATCGTCTAATTTAAATAAAATACTACATCAAAATTTATATAAGCTTATTTATATATTATATAATTATATAGCCCAACAAGCTTTAAAATAAATAATACAAATGATCAGGGTGATGCTACTTTAGTTGAACAGGCAGTTACATCAGCATACAACACAAGGTTCAAGCATGAGATTCCACAAACCCAGAAGATCTTGGTGGTGATTATGATCTGAAGATTGCCAGGAAAATTGAGGGATGAGCATATCGTCGCCGTCCCTTTGTTCCATAGCTGCAGAAGACGATCTAGGTAGAGTTAGAGAGGACGATGATAACGACGAGGAGGAACAGTTGACCATCGCACGAAGACCGCGAGATGAACTGGCGAGATGATGTCTCTCAAATGCATCTCGTGCGTGATGCATGGACAGCATCTCAGTGGAGTTCAGTGTATGCAGGGAGCAATCCACCATCGACGCTCCAACACTTACCAGGGAGCTTGGCGGCAGTTGAACTGGTGGCAGGTTCATATCTGTCAGTGGTCATTACATCAAACATCAATGAAAATATTATCCTTTAAAAATAAACAAAGTCTATTATTCATTATATTATATTACATATTTAAAATAAATCTATAAAGAGAGGCTATAAATCTATAAATCATATAACTTATGTTTATATCGCATTAAATAAAAGAGTAAGATAATGAATAAGAACAACAATAGCATGTGTTAAAACGAAAAGTATTTACTTAAAAAAAATTACTTAAAAAAAACTTTCAAAAATGTCAGAATTCAAATAAAACTATGAAAATAAAAAAATTGCGATTAATTCTACAAATAAACGAACTTGGCGGACGGCCCCATAAATCAATACCTGATTCGTTATCCTTGTTAGACTGAGGTGCACACATGGCGACACAGGCGTGAATGATGTTGCGGTTGCCGTCACATCTTTCCGACAACAACATGTCAATATACTTCTCCCTATCTTGTGCATCTTATTGAATGTGTGGCGTTTTTTGAAGTTAATTTAATTTTAAAGTTGCAACAACTGGAGACAATTTTAAAGAAGTGTACTGGCGGAATGGTTACTTACTTTCTTTGTTTTCAATGTTCTGCAAAATATTTTTCACTTTCTCCACATCTGTCTTGAGTATGGCAGGCATTAACATCTGTGCCTGTATAATAATTATTTTGTAAATTTTTTTTCGTTTAAACTATCAGTAACATTAAATTTTAAATGAAAAAACTGAATGAAGAAACCTAACAATCACGATACCTAAAAATCTTTCTTTCGATAGGTTTGCAAAATAGAAAAACATTTTAAAGTAAATTCAAACAGTTTTATGCATAGATATTTCATGAACTAGGAACGCCGATGTAAAATATAATACTTTTTAACCACAAAAACAAATATGTCAAAAAAGACCATAATAATTAATTAATTAAATAATAGTGATCAATTAAACAGAATTATTCCAAATTATTGTCAATCAAAGACAAAATATAGTAAACAGTTTTGGTAAACTCTTTAGAAACTGTCAATGAAAAACAACATTTCCTCCTAAAACTTCAACAATCTGTAGACAAGGAGACAACCGAATCAGTACTTTCAGTAACACGAACCTACTAAACTTCTGACTCATGGCTCAAAGCAGACATGACTCAGTTCCAAAGACTTGATCAATTTAGTTCAGTGTAGTTTCAGTTTAAAATCATTGAAGACAACTTAATGTAAAATAAGTAAAGCCGCTTTATAGGCCCAACTAAAGTAAAAGATTCATTATTTTTAAATATATAACTACAAATGCACATCTCAGAAAACATGCGACACCATAATCTGATCCATTCAACAAAAAATTGTAACAAGTGAATAAAAAATGGTACCATGTGAATCTGAGACTAATGCCATACAAACCTCGTTAACTAGAGCAATTATAGCAATTTTCGTCTTCAGATTGGTTGAATAGTTATGCACGAAATGAGACGACATGTGCAGACTTCTTAATGGCGACATATCATACCACAATGGATCTTTGATTCCTAAAAATAGTTAAACAACTTGTTTTAATCTAATTCATTTATCTTATTATACTTATTTTATCCAAACAATTTTTTCAAATTCAAATAAATATAAAAAATTCAAATTCAATTAATTTTTAAAATGTCTAGCATTTTTAAAATGTTCAAATAATTATAATAATACAGGTAAAAACCAAGTCAAGACATGGAGAATAAGATATACAGAATATCAGTATAGCAATAGTAAGCTTGTCCTAATTTGATGCTGGTTTAATTGTCGAGGCTTTTTAAATGAGCAAAGCTGAGATGTGGTAGTGTTAACGAACAAGTGTACGGTCCATGATGAGTTTTACTTGATTGCCAAAATTAGTTTTAAAAAATCTTCACTACGTAACGATAAATATTCAATGTTCCCAATCAATGCAAAGATTTAAGGTTATCAAACAAAAAACTAAGAAACCATTGAGGCAATTTTTCAGCATAGGATAAAGTGCTCCGTTGCCATCCCTCAGCAACAAAGGTGTGTTTGGCTGCGTGAAAAATGCAAAAAAATTAATTAAAAAATTATGTTAAATATTGACAATCAATGAGGAAACGAAAACACAGCTTTAAAAAATCTGCAAATTTAATAAAATTCGGTCTGAGGTAGTTAGTTAGCAAACTGATCCAATCATTTTTTATTCCCAGCTGGAACATCAACCGTCTACCTACATATGATGAGCTAGCTAGCTTTTGCACAATTTTACTTGCACAAAATGCAGAAGCCCAATTCATTTTTGCTTGGCATCTGGTACACATTTTCTATCACTTCAACAAAACCTTAGATGTCATTGATTAAGACACACTCTACTAAACTTCTAACTAAGGTATTATAAGTGGTATAGTAGAAACGTTAGGAAGTGTAAGCCTTCCAATCAATCAATGTTCAATTTACTTAGCAAACTACATTTTTCCTTAAAACACGTGATAAAATATAATTAAATAATAAATGTAATAATAAAATAATATACGTAATAATGAAAATAAATACTGATATTATAAAAACACTAACCTCGTCACAGTTGTAAATAGTAGGATCGTTTTCTGAACTCGCCATGAAAGAGAGGGGATCGACGGTGAACGTGCACGTCTGCTCCATCTTGCAGGTGTTCATGTTGTAATACAAGTACATGATCCTGGTCGGCGCGCTGGCCAGTATATGCAAGCCTGAAAATAAAATTGTTGCAGCACAATGAGTTTTTTCATTCTGAGAAAACATTGTTTAGATATAAGCTAAATAATATTAGTTTAGAATCAATTTTGAAGGTTTTCATTAAGAGAATTAAAATAATTACATCAAATCATCAGTGAACAAAAGCAGATAATCAACGACAATGTTATAAATCAATAAAATTGAACGACGATACCCTGAGAATCAACAGTAATGGAGAGAAGTTTAGAGTTGTCGCCAATGTTTATTCTCTTCGGAATTTTCTGGAAATAATCAGGCGTCTTTGGCGCTCCAGTTCCTTTAACAATCATCAGTTCATCTTTCCGCAAAATCCTCGTATCCATCAACATATTCACTGAGTCATCTTTACCCAGCAAACCAGGTGCATCGCCAGTCATCGACTGATCCTTTGAAGCACTTTGAGAGAGTGATGGGAAACGAACGAGAACATAGTTGCCATCAATCTGTACAATGCAACGCACGTACGTGTTTACATTAAAAAAATCTAATTATCATTAAATAAGCAACATTTTCATCATGAACTAGATTTACATGTAACTATTGAAAGCGCATGACGAAAATGATGTAGTGGAGAATGTTAAACGAACAGTAAGCATGAACAGCAAGCTAAATAATTTACTTTGAGAACTTTGCCTGTAGGAATTATTTTGACGTCTTCTATGAAGACAACATCCTTCAGATGCCAGTCCTCTTCATCTTTCCTGTCCATCTCATTCGTCCAGGTCGATATCTGTTTCCTTTTCCGGTCTATATCACATATAATTATTATGGTTTTATTATTCTTCGTTTAAAAAATTAAATATTTATTTATTTTTCTAAGCATAGAGGCAAATAAGCCAACTTTCAATGAAAAAAAAAATAAAACAAAAATTTAAAGTACAAGCTCTAAAACATTTTTGTGTTACACAAAATAAAGAAAAAAGAAGTTTAAAACAAGCGTGTTGATTCATCATCGGCAGAGTAAATCAGTCAATACCACTTTATGTAGCAGCTTTTTTATAATTTTTCACGAAATAATAATAACAATAATAATAAAATAATAATAATGTGAAGTTAATGCAGCGTGTTGTACGTAGTGTCAGGTTGAATGGTTGGCATCACCCATCTTTCCACAAACTAGCGACTTAAACACATATTCACGCTTGCAGAAACGACGAACAAAACTTCCAGCCTCTGCAACTTCATCCTAAATTTGATGGAGAAAGAATGTTTATGAGGTTGAAAGCATGAACTAACTGAGAGATATTGGACTGACGATGGATGGTCCACTGTGATCGCTACACGTTGATGATGCAGGTGACGGAGGAGGTGGCATGTCCGGTTTGAAAGTATCGCTACTGTTGCGAGCGGCCGTGTCCTGCTTTGCGTCGTGTCGGTCACTGTTTACAGGGGCAAAAAACATTGGTGTGTTTGGTCGAGAAGATTTTAACCATACATTCATCTGCTATCAATCAATCAATCTTCGTTTAGCGTCCAGAGACCCAGTTTCCCGAGGTAGGACGTTGTTTTCTTTGCCATCAATTTTTTGCGCAAAATTAGACGATCAGTTGTATCATATGTATATTCATCTGCTATCTAATTTGTCTAGAAAGGCATCACTTTTAGAATTAAGAATTTTCGGTTCAACCAGTGTGTCAGAGTTGGGTTAAAAATATCCGACTCCGACCCCTCAAAAATTCCGAGTTTATTCACTATCATTTCACAAACATTGGTTCATTTTAAAATATAAATTGAAAAATAACTGAGTACAAATCATAACAAACAAATAAATAATAACATGATCACAACAGTTGAACTAAGAAAGAAAAGCAGAAACCTCTGAGATTGCGTAGGTGCAGAAGCAGGTTTAATTTTAAACCTACACATCTCCTCCATGTCCCATGCTGCTTTCATCAAATGACCCACTTTTGGCACCCCGTTCGATACAGTAAAGGCCAGGGCACCTATATTATAAATGGGACTGCTCGACAAACAAACCTGGATACAAAGCGAGGAATTTAAAAGTTGCTGTAGATCGTATTCCCATTTTTAGCAATTAAATCGTTAATACGAAACAAAAATACCTGTGAACCGATGACAATATCAACTCCTCCACTGCCCCTCGTCTCAACAGTCGAGTGCTGCTTGCTGGCCTTCTTATTCTTACTCCTCAACTTCTCAATATTTCTTTTCCGCTGGCCGTAAGGCATGACTCCCCTGTTAATAATAATAATAATAATAATAAGTTAAGTAACTATCATCACATAACTTTTAAACTTTTTTTCTTCAATTTAATACTTCACAGAGAAGTGTAAAAAATGGGATGCTTTCATAACTAGCGAGAATGAATAATATGAAAACTAAGCTGGAAAAATAATTAGAAAAAAGAATTGTTAGTTGCTCAGTTCAAAACTTTAGGCATAGAAGAACATTACGTGAAGGGGATGCTTAACAAAATAATAGATGCCAGGTTAGGAGTGGTCAATAAGCTGAATACAAGCCAATCATTAAAAACTACCATTTGAATTTAAAAATTAACATTTTCACTTATAATTAGAGAAACTTTGAAAACAAAGTACGATACGTCATGAAAAGTACAACTGACCACCAATACAGCGCTCCACTCTCGAGTCTGGCGCACGTGTACAACCAGCACGAATGCAGGGATACAACTCGATCCAGTTGAAACTCGCTACAGACAAACGCGGGCTGATCTAATTTCGTGCTTATAGCACCCAAACTCTCATCGACCCATGTGCAAATCTGAAATTTTTTAGAGCTTGTTATAAAATAAGAAAACGTTTGATGGTACTAAAACATTTCAATTCTAATAACATTCAATCATTTACATTTTGGGAGTAAGTTTTAAGTTTTTGCTCAGTCCCAGGGTTCCAAACGTAACATTACGTATCGTTATTTAACCAATCAACCAATTTATATTCAATTAATCTATTTTGATTATTTATTATTGTTTGAATGAATAGAAATAAAAAATTCAAAAAAAAAAATAAAATAAAATTAGAAATTGTGGATTTAACGTGATGCACAATTAATAACTACAACCTTCCCTGATTCCGTGAAGACAGAAGCACGAACGTCGCACGCACTCAACAGCAATATTTTCTCACCCAGCAATCCCAAACTTGCAGACTTGCTATGCAAACACGATAAATTCTGGGAATTAGAAAAAAATACAACGGCATAAATATTGGTTGATAAGCATTAGAAAAAAGGTTCATCAAATGTCATAATCGGGATAAAAAAATCGTAACTGGTAAGCTCGTAAGCCGCAACTTTTTTATTCAAAGTTTTTATTAAACAATAAAAAGTTTATAAAAAGAGAGTTATAAAATGCATCATCCTCTGAAATGACCTCTGAATGAACGTATGGATCACAATCAGACCATCTCCACTGGCACAACTGTCCTTGAATGTTGACAGCAATCAAATCAGAGTACATCGAATCAATTTGGGTGAACTTCATTAGTTGACCGTCCTAAACATTTGTTGAAAAAAAAGTTAATAAATAAATTAGAATTAATTATGTAATTTGAAGTAAAATTAAACCCATGTTACATTTTCTACTTAATTTTTTCAATAAATTTTTTCCTATTAGTCAACTCAGCTGTAATTCCTAAGATTCTATTTTTAGATTTCTTAAGTAGGCTGACTGACTTCGACTGAAATTGACATTCTAACAAACTGATTAACGCACAGCTCATCATCATATCAACACTCCCATTTCCAATTAAGATTTAATAAAATAGCTAAACTCTCAATTACATAAAATTTTAAACTAGAACGTATGACGTGTTTAGACAAGCAATTATTTGTAATAGATAAACAAAATTAGTCAACAATAGCAGCTGAAATGAATTTGTGCATATATAACTTCTATCCCAAAGTATCCAGAAGAATGCATCAACGGTTCAGTAATGTTGAGAGAAACGGAGAAAATAATAGAGTAAGACGGTGAATAACTGTGAAGATAATAATAGATTCAGGACATAGGGTAGAATAATTTTAATGTAATTCAATGGTTTGAAAATTTGAGAGAAAACTGAAGTTAAGTTTACAGTTTGAAATAATACTCTGACAAATCTGCTATTAATGAAGTAACTCTGAATAAATTCAAATAAGGATTAAATTCTTACTGTAAAATTCGACTTGAAGACATTTCAAATTTAAAATGGAGATAAAAAATTTGTTGTATCCCAACAACCAGTGTTCAATGAAATGAGTTGTTCATTAAAGATTTATAGTTTAACTGAATGAATGTAGTGAGCCATCAATTACATTCTTGAAATAAAAACCAAACAAATTTGTTATCAAAGTAGTTTAGACTTAATTTAATTCCTATATTGAAAAAAAAACTTCAAAAAAATTCCAAATTTTTGACGACATATAATTATGATAGAACTCACGATCAACATGCTAACTGTTTTCAGCAAACAGTAAAAAATTATCATCACTGTTCGATTATTATTAATTACCTCAATAAATGTTCAATTACTTCAACAAATGAGTTGCAAATTTTGTTTTAATTAAACCAACACGTCATCTACACTATATAAAAAAAGAAATAGCTACATTTATTTGCTATAAATGTTAATATAATAAAACAACTAAGACCAAGTATTGCCGCTTATAAATGAAGGTAGTAAAAGGTTTGAAAACGAAAATTAACAAATGCCTGCCTTATCACGCCAATAAACGAGTTCATCTCCAATGTTTATTGGATTAAGGAACAGTTTTTTATTTTCTGAGGGCAAAATCAACCCATCGGTTCGATCCATCTTTATGAGGTTATCTTCTCTCACGCTATCCAGCCAGCGGGTTCTCTCCCTCAGTCGAAATATTGCATCTCTGTCGTCACGATCTGTTCAAATTATGATAGCATACTACAAATTTACCTTCAAATTCATTGATGTATTTGTACAAAATTATTTATTAACCATTGGCGTGAAAGTAGGAGGCACCGTATCGTACCCTACCCGACATCAGTTCAATGTTATAAACTGAGGTTCATGGAATATTTATCACACGAATAGATAAAAAATTATCTTCAAGGAAGAATAAATACTGCAACGTGAAACAATCATGCTTGCTAAAGACTCTGCAATCAAGCTGTCAATAAGAATCTAGATTCCAAAGTACACACAAAACATCAACTGATTCCATATCGTTCTTATGTAATGCATGCAAATAGAAACCTGATCTGCTCCTAGATGAGTTTCTGGCTCTCATGGTTGAGTATCCAAACATATCCTCACTAAACATGGATTCGGAGTCAATGATTACACTCGGATGGTCGGAATGAAGCCCTGCATCCAACAAGGACATGAGATCATCTGAATTAAGAGAGAAATGTTTCAAAATTAAAACATGAAGTCTAAAATTTTTTATGTAAATTTGAAAACACTGCTAAATAATCCTGAATCAATTAGATTCAGATCCAGGTTGTATGTAAAGAAGTTTTGAAAAAAATTTACTGCATTGTGAAATTACACAATTATTTATTTGTGTGTGAATGTGTGTGCGTATGTGTGGTGTTCACATATTCATAATATCAATAGTAGTAAAATGGGTTACTAAATGATAATGATGACGATGCATTACTCTTTCAATAAACATTACGACCATACTTCATAAGATACAAAGTGTACTTTGTATACGATGTGACATACACATAGAAGAGTTTAATAAACTTTAAATGCCAACAGGGTATATAAAAACTTTTCAACGTACCTGACATATAGGAATCGCAGTTATCTCCATCATCATCACCTTCATCATCTCGACTCAACAGATTATTGACCGCCAAATTGACATCTAAATTCTAAAAAGAATTATATTGCAAATAATTACTTTTTTATTTGAAAAAAAAAATCTAGAAACCTCAAAAATAATTAAAGACAAAAAATTAGAAAGAAAAGTTAAAGGCATCAATTAAAAAATATTAACAGTTTTTTGCAGCTCCCGGACGATAAGGCTTCTGGATTTGCCTTGCAAAACAACTTGGCACTGTTTCAAGTAACAATCAAATATGTAAATAAGTTAACCTTCATTCAAAATTTTTTATCGAATACCTGATTGACAAGATCTTCAGGTACCACAGAAGCAGGCAAAAGAGGTCTTGACCCCACAATAACCCCTGAACCTCTTCCTCTACCAACTGCTCTGACAATTCTTCCACGGGGACGGCCTGAGGTGGACATGCGAGCCGTAGTAGCCACCGATGAGTTGTTTCGTGTTGAAACATTGCCCGTCGATGATGCAAACCTTCTGATCATTTAGAGCAGCAAAGTAATTTGTTAAATTTCATTCCATTTCAAGCTAAATAAAGCTACAACCAACCCGACGCTCTGTTCAGCCATTGAGCCAACATCTTCACCCCTAATCAAAATCAAGGGACTTTCAGCTATCCGAATTCCTCGACTTGAACGTTCATTCTTGAAACTGTTGCTCTCCTTCATAGATCTGTTTTTTTTTATAACACATAAATGACTGCAAAATTGAAATTTGTTAAAAAAATCTAAAGATGCTCACTGTTTGTTTTCCACTTTATTCAAATTGAGACGATCACTGGATACAGAATAACCAACTCTGCATATGCTTCCATCCTGCATTGAATTGCATCAAAATCGAAATTTTTAAGTCCCCTTATTCAGTTGTACAATTTAAATGCACATTGACAAAGGCAGCAAATATTTTTCTGAAATTCACGTTGAGAATAATTTTGCTACAGGGGAAGCATATACAAGTGTACACACAAACAAGCATACATGCGCACATCACACATGCAAAAACACACACATAATTTTATTGGTGAGAATCACTTATAGAATCCCCATTTCAGACTGAAAACTTGGAATTAAGTTTTTAAAAAATTCTAAATTAGTTTAGTACAGATATAAAACTCATCCAGCACAATGCTTGCTGGCCATGATTTGAACTACTCCTGTAATACGTAACATAATCTGATACATGCATAATAATCCTGTACACACCTTACAAGTTTGAAAAAATGATAAAAAAATAAGATAGTGAAAACAAACTTGGAGAAGGAATGCAATGTGAGTGGACGAGACGACAACCTGGCTAATTGATATATTCTGAGTGATTGGTGGACCTTGTAAACCTTGTTTGTTTATCTTATCTGACAGATCTCTCAATCTAAAGAACAGTTTTACATTTCATTAAAAATTAATATTTAAAACTTCATTATGATTATAGATATTATTTTTCGAAAATTTTATTAGAATAATAATAGCAAATGATTTTAAATAATTCGACCATCAATAACAAAAAAACAGCACATTCCACTACTGATTTAAATGTATCAGTTATACAGTTCAGTTGGAGCAGGACTTACAAAATTTAATCATTAAACATTTATAACTTTTTTGTATGTATAGAAAAACACACGAAACAACATGTGTGTGATGTGATAGAATGAACTTAAAAATCAGATCCAATTTGGACATTGAAGGGAAAGATTTTTAAAAATTTTATACAAATAGATCAATCAAAAGAAGTAGTTTATAAAAGAGGTTTTCAAATTTACTGATGCTTATGCTAAGAATGGAAGCAAACAAATAATAACATATATTATATATGACATGTGTATGTACCTCAGATCGTGCTTCCATGTTTAATTTTGCATAGAAATAGAGCCTGACATTATTTTTAGAAGATTTGAGAGATTAGCAACTACAAATCAGAAAGAAAAGATTTAAATGAAAAGCCATGAAAACAATTGTACCATTTTTTGGTCGTTAATTTTTTAAAAGTTGTATAAATAGAAATATATTTTTCATCAACAAAACTGACACACTTTAAACAGTCTAATAAAATTCAGCTGACAATAAATATAAATATAATTTAAAATATAATATAATATAATCATCCTTCGTTCCATTAGATTAGAGATCAGAGGTTGTCTGGGTTTTAGATAGAATAGATTAATACTTCAATATTTAATTAACAGTAGAAACAATTTAGTTTATAATGAGCTATTTCCGCTTTCCAAAATGTTCAAAAGCGCTCCTTAATGAATTTTGCATTCAGATGGGTCTTAAGATCTGCTTTGACCTTCGTAAGTGATGGAGAAGTAGTCAGAGAAGAAGGTAGATAGTTCCAGAAAAAAGGGCCAGAAAAATCAAATGTAAATTTAGCAAAAGAGTGTTTGAGTGAGTGAGTTGAGAAAACGTGAGAACAAGAAGACAATCGTAAACCAGGCGTTTAGTTTCAATTAATATATCTGATAAGTACTTAGGAAATAATTTAGATTAAGACATGCATAAAGTGCAAATTTTAAAAATGATTCTATATTTTATAGATAACCGGTGCAAAAGAACAAGATATGAGAAAAGAAAGAGGCATAAGCAACTAGACAAGCAGCTGAGTTAAAAGCTTTAGTAAAGCTTGTAAAGAGTGTAGAATCAGGAAGACCATAGTAGAGAAGAGTTACAATAATCAACCATAGATAAGACTAAAGAAGTAACAAGAAGGAGAAGAATAGAATCGTCAATAAAAGGCAAGTTTTTTATTCTACATAATGAAAGTAAGAACTTCTAGCAACAATATCAATATTAATAACATTAATCAATTAATTAATAATATGAAAATAAAATATATAACTAAATAAATTATTTAGAAGGAGAAAATTTTAATTTCAATTTCATTATCTATTTTATTTTAATAAATCTAAAATTAAATTTTAAATTGTTAGAAATTTTTAAAACGAGAAAATTATTTTAAAAAATTTTCCAGGAAAAATAAAATAAATTTTCCTCATCTTATAATTTAATTTTAAAAAATAATTAATTAACATTAGATTAGGTCATTAGTCATTATTTTGAAAAACTTTCTAGGAAAAATAAAATAAATTATTCTTTTTTAAATTTTTATAATATAAATTTAATTAAAAAAATTAATTTACATCTTTATCAAAAATTTTAATTCCAAATTTCATGGAATGTGAATCTGTCTGCAGATTGAGAAAATTCTGAAAATAAAATAAATATGGACTGAGAAGACTGAATTGACGCGGCCAACCTGTCGTTGAACTGCTCCTCGGAGCCAGGCAAAGATTGAACGACGAAATGGACGCAACTCATCGCAACTTCTTTTCAAAATGCGAATCGAAAATAAACGATAATCTATATCGAAAGCACGACCATTCATCGCACAGCATAAGTAAACAAAAGGGTTTTCGAGTTGGAAGGATGTACATGAAATTAATTGACTAGAAGGAAACACCGATGAACTAAAATTAATTAATTTATCGAATTTATCGTATCAAATCCTGACGAAATCCGTAATCCATATGCTTAAAATCATGCTTAAAATCATATACTTTGAATAAACAAAATCATGAAATTTTATATATAGAAGCTGCTTTATAAAGATATAACAAATTTAAATTTTTTCTTTTTAAAAGCATCAAATAATTATATTTTTAAACATGCGTAACATAAGATCGCACAAACTACGAACTTCGGTTTTTGCCAAATGTTAAACTCAATAAAATACTTTTCTAAAAATAATAAATTATTTTAACATAGAAGCCAAGAAAATTAGGAATTTTTGGTAATGAAAAAACAGCTAGAGCAGCAATTATGGCATATTGTCATATCTCCATTTTTGATAAAACATTGTATTGTACTTAGGAACTGAATTATACCACTCGGCTTGATTGTTAACCTGAAAGTTGTAGTTGAAAATTTTTATCTGCCAACAAAACAAGCGATCAAAATTGATTCGCTGGGAAACAATGGAGAAAAAGCAAGCACACATTTTTCAAATCATCAAACACTTTAGAAATTTTTGACGTAAGCAGACAAAGACTCCAAAAAAAGAATAACGATGTATTTATAACTTTTAGAAAAATTCAATGGACAGACATATTAAAATTCAATAATTTTAATGAACATTATTCGTAAAGAATAAAACAACTATTTGTTTGAAATCTATTATAGAGGTGATACCATAAAAATAAGGGTACAAGACGCCAGACAGTCCCGATATAACAAGAAACATCATCAAAAGTGTCCATGAGCAACAAAAAGCAATAACATAGATGTTGCTTGAGTTAACAAAGATTGCAATCATCAACATATTGGCTACAATAGAAATATGTGTAATTAAAAAATTTATCGACCTAAGAAGATATCAGCGAAAAAAGCAATATATCTCGTCAATTTGGATGTCTAACTCAGATAACATAATAGAAACAATGACAGAATATGCATTCAATAACCAATAAAATAATCACAAATTGTTATTATTTACAATTATTACAAAAAATAAAAAGCAAATCTAATTGAAAAATTTCTAATTGATAACATAATATATATATATACAATGTATATGTATTATGCATACAGATATACGTAGTATTATTTAGGCATGGCATTATTATACTAAAGTGCTACAAACGCAAACATGCACAGACACACAAACACACATATATTATGTATCACAGTTGTTTAGAAAAATCGCAGCATTTTCAGCGTTGCCTAGTTTTCTATTTAATTTTTAAATAGATCAAATATTAAAAAGAGAATTAGGCAACGCTGAAAATGCGGTGATTTTTCTAAACAACTATATCTGATAGTCTAAATCCTTAATATTATGTATTATAAACAAACCTACATGTATAGATACACACACACACACACACACACACACACACACACACACACATATATATATATATATATATATAGGATTAAGATGGTCAGAAATACAATTTTAATGAAAATCACGGCCTGTTACGCGTTAGCTTCTTGTTTAACTTTTCGAACGGCTGATCGCAAACCATGGTCAAGTTTCTTGAGTTCAAAACCAAAATTGTTAATTATTTTAAGCATGCTAAAACAGTTAAGCATGATAGGCCAAATGCTCAAGTATATAGTATATATATACTGTGTTTCTATAATGTTAATTCTTTGTTTAATGTGAATACCTGGCGGTTATTAAATTACTGCCTTGTGCAATATGACACTTCTACGTGTCCTCATTATCGATGATACACTGTTTATAAATCTATTGGTGGGAAGGATTCCAACTGCACGTTGTTGAATATTTCCGTGCCTTTGGAATTCTTCCCACTAATAAATTTAAAAAAAGTGTATCATCGATAATGTAGACACGTAAAAGTGTCATATTGCACAAAGTTGAAGATTGTAATAATAACAGTTAAGTATTCACAATGAACAAAGAATAAACATTGTAGAGACACAGTATATATATATACTTGAGCATTTACCCACATACACAAAGCAATTCGAACACCGAAGATGGCATAAGAATAATGAAAAAAGCTTCTATGTTCTATCATGCTTAATGTTCTATCAAGCATAAAATAAATAATTTTTTTTTTGTTTTGAAACTTGACGATCTACCGTTAGAAAAATTAAACAGGAAGCTAACTAACGCGGAACATGCTGTGATTTTAATCAATAATTATATATATATATATATATATATATATATATATATACATATTTATATGTATGAACCCGTTTTGATGAACAAGCCATGGTTAGGCATGCAATCGCATATATATGTACGTATATAAAGACTTATCACAGAAATTCCCTTCATCCTATAATACTACTAGCCCATAATAAACAGGTTATTTTGTTATTCGGGAAAGGATGGACGGTGGCCCAGACCAGTCTGCAAAATTCTCATCATTCGTCAAACTTGTCACTGTCAGACACACAACACAACTGCCATTTAGACCTTCCATCATCATTCCTTCCGAGCCGCATAAAGTAAATTGTCTTGAAGTATTAAATATAATATTTAAAAAAATTCCACATCCATTAACAAAGCAAAATTGAATTTGGGACATTTATTTACAAAAGGATGTATGCGTTATAAGTTGTCAAATATAATTTGAATGAGTTTTGATGCAAATAAAAAGAATTTTTGTATTATTTAACAAATTCAATTATTTAATATACTGAATGTTACAAACGGTTCACGACAAATAAATTCCCAATACGAATGAATAGCATTGCGCTACAATTACATATCTTAGCTGAACTAGATAGAAATAGTATGCGTGAACTATACGGTTACCTAAATATCAATTTGTCCAAAAAATATTTGAAAGTTTTTTTTTATAGAGGAATATTAGAAAACAAAGATGTTTAAAAATGCTTAAAAAAATCAAAATAATTATAAATAAAAAAATTAAGTTCAACAAAATATAGCTAACTAATCAATGAATTGCTTCTTAAAATCAGCAGTCACCAATAAAAAAAAGTTTAAATTGTTACTTGAATGAAGACCTGATAATAATTACCAAGGTAAAATATTTTTACTTCATTACATTTTATTAAAACTTTAATTCATAATTACAATTTCACTAAAAACTTTAAATTATGGAGAATTTTATTAAAAAATTAACAACTAAACGAATTCAGCAATGAAAAAAACAAAAATGAATCAGCTGAAAAGATTCACTGGGGCGAAACTTTAAAAACGCAACAAAACAGAGAAGCATTAACAATATTAAAATTAAGTTTCGAATCAATAAAACAAAGGTGAATAAAATACAAAGATATTCAAACAGAAAATAAAAGCTAACATTGTAATAAAAAAAATATCATCATAGTGCAATCTAAAAACGAAATTTGTCGATCATTGACTTGAAGATATTGAAAGCATGAAATGAAACTCTTAATAATAAAACTAAACAACTAAAAACATTATGAAAAAAAATCACATTTATATGAATAAACTGTTAAAAAAATCAAGCAAAGTTGAATCAAGTAGAATATTTGGATCCATTCCACCACAGTTTTTGAAATTCTAAAATAAATTTTACGATGTCAAAAAAACATCCATGCAAAAATTATAATATGAAAACTTTAAGACAATCTGGTAATGAAGATCGTATATATGTTATTTCACAATTTGTATCTAAGTAGTTCATTAAAAGACACTATTTATACATGCACATGAATTCGAAGTCACATTTCAACGTGGTACGACAGAGACATTGGTGAATAATAATAATAATAATAATAATAATCGTAATAATAATAATAATCATAATAATAATCATAATAATATTAATAACAATAACAACCAAAATAAATAAAAAGAACACTTAACGAAGTCATCTTGACATTATTTTTTATAAAAAGACATTTGACTTAATAATCTAAAGACGGTTGGTACAAAATAATTTGCACCTAACCACCTAAACTTTGGTCACCCTAATTTTCGCATGCTATACCCCACCGTTATTTACACTTGAAATCAATCAATCATATACAAAAAAGGTTCAATATGATTTCAATTTCAACAACAGCTTCACAACCAATAATATTTTTTAAGAGAATATTCTAAAACAAATTTATAGATGAAAACAAGTTTAATAACTTGAATGCTTATTCGTGTAGCTAAATATAAAACATTCTTTTTAGATTAAAACTTCGTTAAGTGTTATGCCATCAGAGCAAAACAAGATTAAGTTGTGTTCAAACATTTTTATCATTAAGTTTGGCGAATCAAAAATTTTTGAAAATATAATTTAACAAGCAATCTTATATATTAAATACTTTAGTGATCCTAAATGAAGTTTGAAAATTGAACTCAATTTTCTTCAGATGTCTTCCAATATTGTATTATTTGAAATTTTCAGCTTTGTTAGTTGAAAACTTTCATATTGAAGAGGCAATAATTTCATAAAAAATTATTTCAAAACCCAACAGAAAAAATGAAATTTTCAAGCTTAACAAACCAATATCAACTTATTGCTTACTTGCCTAGCTCAAAACACTAATATATTGAAAAATTACTAACATTATTTAACCAAATCTTTTGCTTACGGCTACAAACTTCCACTTGAACACTGAACAGTCGTAACTGATTAAAAATTGTCAACTGACCATGGTTTCACTTTTTTTCCACAAAAAACAAATGTGTTTACATTCCTTACCTACAAATCTTCAATAGCTTCCATAATTCTCTATGACTTAAACTCGTCATCAAACAAGATCGTTTGAACTGTCCGATGTGTTAATCACTGCAAAACAAAAAATTATAAAAAACAGAATTAATAATAATACCAAAATATAAGTGACCAAGTGATCAA